ATTGTTGAGTCCTAACGGTTGGATGCCAGTGTTCCCAGTAGGTAGGCCGTTTATGCTTTGTTCTAAGCTGCTCCTGTGCCCCAATCTAACCACAGCCAAGAAGCCCCAAGTCCAAATCCTAGGTAGGCAACAATCGCCGGAATAACCAAGCAGGGTCTTGTAGTCTGTTGTCAGTACTACTGTTGTTAACATTCGTGTTTCGCATTATGCCTGCCTTGTCCACATGTGCTAGTGTTATTGCTGCGCGGGACGGTTGGCTCGGGTTTCCTCCCATGCCTGAAGCACCGCTCGACGGCCAGGCTCTTGAAAAAAGTGCGAGCATTCCGGGAGCTTTTCAAGCTGGTTACCATGATGTCGACCCCAAGATGCAATACTTGAAGGTTCGATTTTGGTTATAAGTAGGCTTATGAGTTGTGCTTGGCTAGCCCCACTAAGAATTACCCATAGCATGTTCAGGTCTGTACTTTCCCGCAAAATAACATGTAGTCCCTCAAGCGTCCATATGAAGATGACAAAAGGGTTTCCATGTTAGCTTGCGGTAGATCAAGGTTACAGCAGCTAGAGCTCCTTGTTATATTCTTGGTCACGGTAGCTACCCGAGTTTTTCAAATCTTCTTTCCAAAATCCCTTATCCCCTTCTATCCCCCTTGGTCTCAAGAGCCATTCCGCCCCACCCCGCCCCACTCCGCCCCGCCCAAAACAAAGCTTTCCAATCGAGTACAGCAGTACTAGATGTACGGATTGTTAATTCAGAGGCTGTGGAGGCGGATTTATGATAGCGTGGATGAGGCTACTATAAGTTCTTCATTTCATGACAGCATCCTGTGTTTGCTAGTGTCTCACAGAAAACGAAGTAGTTGCGTTACACTTGCTGGCTGAGTTGGCTGTGGCTAGACCAGACGCTCTCGCGTGGCAAGAGGCAACATTCATAAGCCGGTTCAACACGGTCGCTTCGACAGGAAAGCCTTAGAGCTTATCTGTACTGAAATCCCATTTGGGCCCGACGAAAACAATACAAGCATAGGTGGACATTAATTTCATGATATTCGTTTTTGAAACCACCTGTCCATAGCTCCTGTGCTCATGCTCAACTGAAGCCACACGAAGACCAAGGACTTGTTTCTTGACGTTGCTGTGGTCTTTCCTGTTCTGCCACTTGCTGACATTGATTGGCATTTGCACGGACAAGGGCTTGGCAACCCTCCCACCCCGAGGTAATATCCTAAAGAGGCTTAGACACGGACAATAGCTTTCAATGAAAGAGGTTGGCTCTTTGACATTGAGGCCGTCAAGCTAAGGAACCATACTTCTGGCTTTGTCATAAGTTATACGTCTTTACCAATCTAGGCAGCTGGGCTGGAACTGCGTTGTGACGGCACTTGGTTTGCCGGGCATTTTCAGAACTCCAGCTGTGTTGATTGCAGGCAGCTTCTCGCAAAGCTGAAGCCAAGACAGCAGGGCTGGTAGCCCTCTAACCTGTGCCCAAGCATCTGTCTAGGAACCGATATGGGTCCAAATAAGTTCCCACTCAGATACTTAGATCCCTACCGCGGGGAATGTAGATCTGGCCAGGAATCTATCCATCATACAGTTGTGGGATGAAAAGCTGCGATACTTCTTGCAGAGACTGTCAAAATCTGTGCTCATTGCATGTTGCCACAAATGTCGGCAGTCCAGGGTCTAGAGCTTGCAACTTGAACCAGCCTGCGCGGTAAGATTTGTTGGAGTCGTCATTATTTCAAGATGAACTAGAAAGCCTAAACCCGATTTCAGCTGTCAGCAAAACTCCCACAGGATGATTTTGATTGGGTCTACATGGGGCTTAAGGGTTTCCTGTTTTAGGTCTCACACAAGTTCCTGGGAGTTTGGCATATTCTTCGGCCCTTCCAAGCTGAGGCTTTCTGGTGATGACCGGCTGGGCAATGCTGATGGTGGCAGCACGGTCGCAGAGGTTTGGGTTTACTCGGTGGTAATTCGCAGGAAATGGAGGAAGGATCTGTATAGTAGTCCCTAAACATCAAGTAGCCTTACTTTACTTATCATGGGAATGAAGAAATTGCACATTAGGACTATTTTGGATTCATTCTTCCATCCTCTACCAACAAGTTCCTAGAGGTAGGTACTTTACCCTGCAGGATCCATGGAACCATAGCTGTGCAGCCGCAAAGCTGTGTGACAAGCCACCCTACCTAGGGTTTATGTTTTGGGCTGTGCTAAATGGCTACATGGTGCGTTTTTGCCCGTTGTGCAGCTGCTTTATTTACTCTTGCGGGCAGAGCAGTTTGGGATGAAGCGAAGAGGGGGTTCCACAAATGGCAGAAGAGACGCGCGTCCGTGAAGCATCTTCTGCTCATGAACTACCTGACGCATGATGTGTAGTGTTTGGTAGCACACTACTAGTCAAGAGTACGCGGACTTGCTGTCCATCCGCCGTATGCCGCACACAGAGGTACTCAGGCCAATCTCACTTTTTAGTTGACCTTTGGAACAACCCCTGCTTAAGGACAACATGCTGGGATAATCCACTTCTGACGGTTGTGAACCGCTTCACGCTTCATTGCAAGGGTGCGGAGTGGCCGCACCCGGGCTACAAAGCGCAGCCAAAATTGGCCAGATCCTTTCCCATGGCAAAGCATTGCATCTCCGCCTGAGCATTGCATATCCATACAGGCTGAATGCGCGGGAACTCCTCAGTACTTTTCTCTTTTCTTTGGTGTCTGTGCCCTAACTGTCCAACTAGTTAGGTTCTTTCTGGGAGTTTCACAGCCCCTCCTTCAGAAGACCCTCTTTAAAGTCCTTTTTAGCCGCTATGTTAGGACCAAAAATCTCCCGTAGAAACACCAGGATTCGCATCCAAATGCCCCAATGCTGAGCTCCTCACAGGTGCTGGTTTGAAGTAGTTGTGGTGTTCTTGACACAGTTGGGGACCTCTCTTCAGCATGTCCTCGGCACAAATTCTCGAATCCCAGTTTTCTGCAACACTGCCAGGCTTCCCCGAATGATTACCAGGCATTAAACCTGGAACCAAACCAAACATATTCAAGTTCGGACTTCTGCCAAGGAGTATGTCCACCCTCTGGTGGTCAAGCTCAGCTCAGAGGGGGCATTTTCAAACTGCCCCTGGGCTCAGATGTGGGAGCTTGAGCTACATTCTTAGCCTTCGGGGGACTCCTTTAACTGTCCTTGCCCCGATAGATCATTGGACCCAGGGTTTCAAGGGTGTCCCCCATTTGACATCCTGGCTCGGGCTTTGGGGTTTAGGTAGGGGTACGCATGCAGCAGTCAAAACATACACTATAGAATCCAGCTCCTACCATTTCCCTGGACCCTAAGGCCCGAAAGCCACCAAAATCTGTATGGGTTGGAGATTGGAGCCTGACCGTCAGAAATGAGCCAAAAGCTGTAAGGCTTTTAGTCCAGTGCGGTCTCAGTTGGTTTGGGGAACCATGTTTTTGTCTCTTAAGCGTGACGGGGGGACTGTCCTCCAAACAGAATGCGACAAGGGCCCCACAAATACTACTGTCCTTTGAAACGTGTCCCAGATAAGTTTCGGCAAAAGCCTGGACGGTTACTAATGTGCTCCACTCATCAATTCATAACATTTTTATGACTGTAGTATGAGCGACACCAAGTTCTGCTTAAACCAGTCCCAAGATTACCTACTTAGCATCAGACCTCCAGCATGACCCGAAGTCATTGCTTCTCCAATATCAAACTCCCTGTGCAGTAGCGTATACATATTTGGGACCATGTGTCATATTGAGGGGTAGGGGTGAAGGGACAACCACTACGTGGGTGAGGCAAAGCCTGAGACCTGAACGACCAACTAATCCGCTCAACTAACACACCCTCATGATAATATTCCCCCAGCATAGGCGGCGACTCTAGAGGGAACATTCGTTGTTAAGGTTTTTTTCTTTAAATGATTTGTGGGAGGGGTGGCGTCCGTCGATTCCCTCGAGGTCTTTTCGAGATACAGCCAATGTCTGAAGGAATGAGCCCAAGACAGAAGCTTAAGCCCACGGCAAATCCCGTGCCCCCACGACCTGACCCCTTCGCCGCAAGCCTGCATCCCTGAACCTTAAGAACTGAACTATAAGCTCGAGCCAAAGACCAGTCAGAGGCCTCGATGGCCAGTGCACCAGGGCGACTTCATCTGTGATGGACGCTAATCTGTTGCTGGGCTGCGCTAGACTTAAGTGCCATATAAGTTCTTCAGATTTTTTTGATGCGCAGTCGCGTGTCCTTCAAATAGGCGGCCCATTGCTTTCTGGCCTGTATTATCTCGAGAAACACCCACTTATCACGCCATGGCGTGGGCCTTTACCGGATGATGAGGGGTTGGAAACGCATCTTACAAGCTTTGGACTGTCAGGCATAGGATTGAGATCTGGTGCTTAGTAGGACATCATTGTGAGGCTTTTCCGATCTTTTTGCGTCCACATTTTCCAAGCTTTCTGACTCAGTTGTCTAAACTTTTATTCACCAGGATGCTCGTCCGAGAAACTGATCGCATCGCAGCACTCACGTTGTATTCAGCTGCAGCACGTTATGTGTGCTTCGTGATATTGGCAAGCCTCGGGCCGCAAGGCCTTCTCGTTTCGGGTAGCATTCTTCCATAAATCATGTACAAGTAAGTCTAGATGCCTAGATCAAGCAGATGTACCGAGGCCAGCCCACCCCGCTTCTTTGTGCAACATGTGGAATGTCCTTGTACAGGTCCCTATAGGTGGGTTTCTGTTTCAATGCGATCTCTATGTGCGTCCCCCCAACTAGCGAACAGTAGTGTAGGCATACTCTTAGATTGCTGCAGACTCAAAATACCATGCTTGGAGCCTGGACCGTTGTTCAAGGACGCACGCAGCTCCAAAAGCAGCCTGTTCACTTCGTGGGCTCCTCAAAACAGAGTACCAAAACCCTCGACGTTCCAACCTGAAACCCGATCCACAAACCAACTGAACCCTGCATAGCTGACTTGCCGGATCATGGCGCAAGCTAAGGCTCCTCTTCAAGACGGCAGCTCTGCGATTGGAAGGGGAATGCAGAACTTGAAGGGGCAGAGCCCGGGGACAAGTCCCCGAAACATCGGTACGCGTGTTCTCAACACTTCTGCTTTTCATTTTTCCTGAAGGGCTAAAGTGTTGGGTTGATTTCAGGGTTTATGCATTGTTTTGCGTATCAAGGTGAAGCGTCCGCAGGTCAAGACACATCTCCTTGGCATTTCATGCTGGGACACACCAAGTAAATATTTGCGGGTTTTCAAACTTGCGTTGGAAATAATTCCTCAAAGGTGCCATCCCCCCTGTAATTACATTTTTCTGTTTTCTAACCCAGGGTCCGGTGTCTAGAGAAACGCCCATGCGGATGCAACCGTGATTAACATGGACCCTTGCCTTTTCAGGGATGGTGTAAACCCTTCGTATTGTCATGTTTTCAATGATGGGCAATGTGTCCCATGAACAGTATGCAGTCCTGAGACAAAAGAAGTTTACTGGCGAATCAGAAGGCAAGCACGATTTGTGCAGAAAGTACGATTTTTGTGGTCTGCTGGAGGATCCCGATCTTGCTACAGGAACGGTACCTTACTCGGATTTGCTGCTAAGCACCACCCTTCACTAATGTCTGAGCACTCATAATGAATCCCAGAATGCAGACCCTGACCCCACTCCTGGAGTTGAACACCAGTCCCTAGAGCACTATGCCCTCAAGCCTGTATGTATACATATATACATAGTATATGTTGTAGAGCACTTTACATACACCTACTGATCACATTTATTCAATCCCAGGTAGTTGCCGGGGACAGCTGGGGTGAGATCGCTGTGCCCGTCATCCAGTCACATCCAGCCTCTTGACCTAACCCTCAGGCTATGCGGTCTAGGGCACAAGCATTGCGGTATGGGGTTGCGGGTCTTCGGGTGTGATGATTTTTCGGTTTTTGGGGCCGGGGTTTCTGTGTGACCCCGGGCAAATGCCTGTGGTTGCCAGTGCTTGGTTGTGCCAGGAGAGAGCAATATTCTCGTGGTGGAGACAAAGACATTAGATATTATGGTTTAAGAAGCAGGTTGTAGGTTTCACGGGGTAGGATTGGCTTGGGGACAAGGGTTCAGCATTGAGGGATTGGAGCCCAAGAAATTGGTCAAACAACTGTTTGCTTTGCCTTTGTGCTGGTCTTTCAAATTGCTAGGGCAGCAGTGCTGGGCGCATCTAGCAGGCATTCTTGGCGGGGAGTGCTTGTCGTGCACCGTAGGTATGAAGCTCCTACTGAAGTACTAACAGAAGCCACGCCTCATAAAGCTAGTCACAACTCCGTAGTCGACTTACAACTGAGACACCCATTGTTGAACTGGCTTTAGGCCGAGAAGCCTAGTTTGATGACTCGTTCATGCTTCCAAACCCTTACCAACTTTAACCCTCAGGGGATCCCACAAAAAGCGAACCATGGCTTGTAAGCCTGCAGCCAGATGGCCTAGGAGACGGCCTTCATTTTCGTGGGCTCGTCCCTGACCATCGTCTTCGGCGTTTTGAACCTCATTGTAGCTGTGTGACTTAACTGCATACTCGGGGGTATAGCGAGGGTGCAGAACAGGAATCCAACCTTGAGAAATATCGTCTTTTCGTTGTCAGATGGATCTGCTCAGTTTGCATTGAAGTTATGCATTTTACCTAGGCTGATCATATTCTACACCCTAATCTCCTATGTATGGCTTGCTAGATGGATCTTGATAAAGCTGCCATGCCATGCAAGGCTCTGAACTCCAGACTACAGTCTTTGCTGCTGTGGGCCCTTCTAAAAAATCCAATGTCCGTTACCTCCCATGAACGCCACTCTAAGATAGCAATGCCATACAGTTCACATATGACATAGGACACAGGACCGAATGACTGCAAATGAAACTGTCATAGCCCTCGCATCCACTCCTGCAGCCTGGACAAGCTATCTAGGCCAATCTAGGCCTCTGCATTTGGCCTTAGCTAGCGTGGCGGTGCTTGATTGACGTCCTGACAAAGACACCGTGTCCACCGTAACTAGCATTAATGTCGGGGCCTAATAACAAGTTAGAACAGTGTTCTGAAAAAAAACACATGCTGCACTGATGTCAGAGTTTCATGATGCGCCCTAGTACTATATGCTTCTGTAGGAATTGAATATATTGTGTTTCTGTAGGCCTCTTTGCTAAGTCTTTCAGCATAGACCAGGTGCCGGGAGGTAATGGCATTTTCGTAAGGGCATCGGAATGACAGCTAACTGAAGCCCCTTCCTCCTCACACTAGTAGTTGGCCCATATGAAAACTTTTTTTGTGGGGGAAGTACGCAAGGTGCCCTGAACCCTAAACCCTAAGGGTTTAGAGTCCAGAGTCGGAGTCCCTGAGCCGTTTCCCGGAGAGCCTCCACATAGTTTGAAGGAACTGGGCAAGGGTACGTGGCAAGCCCAGCCGCAGAAAGGCCAAAGAAGGATCTCATCAAGAGTGCTTGCTCAGCCGCAGGCAAGTAATAGTACCAAACAGGCCTTTCAGCTCGGCGCAGCCTCCTTCAAGGAACGGAAGCAACAGCAAATGTATTGCCGGTTTACTGGACGCTCTGCAAGCGATAGAGGATATGCATTTGCAAGGGAAGAGTCCAAACTGAAGGATCGTGGACACTTTCGCAGAGGCAAGGTCCAACGAGTTCGACGACCTAGCTGAGGAGCAGTGCATGTGGGATTTGTCAACTTCGGCTTTCAGAGACGCAGTTTCCAGGCTTACCTTTTTAGTGTTGGCTGTCTAGGGCACACGTTCCGGCACTTCCTGATGATGACGAGGGTGGCCTCCACCCGAAAACTTGGACCCATAGATTCGGCAGCTATCACAAGGCAGCCTGTGGTCGTCGTTTTCCAGGTTAGGTGGTTGGGTTGTTGCGCCTTGTTGCTTTGCCAGTCTTAATCACAGTGAGCGGATGCTGAGAGGTTGACTCATTCACCTGAACACCCAGAAGAGGAAACCCTATCCGTCAATCTCATGGCAGTTCTAGGGTTCAGGGTATAGTTCTTCCCTAAACATGGTTCGAACGTGCTAACAGGGTTCAGGGTTCAGAACGGCACTCTTCTCTAGACATGAGGGATCTGTGGTCACGAAATGTAACCCTCCTAGAGGTCCTAAGCTCTACCCTCAGCCCATGGCCTCAACAATACCAGGATTTGCTTGTTGCTTGTCAACCTTCATTGTCTCCTGATCTAGCATGTTGTAAATAAGTGCGAGGAGGTATTTTGAGGTTCATTCGAAAATTGAGGGGTCTCTGCTACTATTGCTACATATCCCTTCCCCTATTGTCAAAGCTGAAATAGGTGCCTGCTTGACTAGTTGCATGAACTCCTTAGTTGAAAGTAGAATTCCCTTTCGACTGGGCTTTCTAACGCGCCTCGTAGGAGTAATTGAAGATTAGGAAACGAAAGAAATAGATTATCTAGATAAATTGCAGTTCGATGCTGACTCACCGCAAATTCCTGTGCAAAACCTAGAAAGGAAAGGAAGCCCTAAATTCAAACCCTGTAACTTTTTTGAAGGCCTTATGAAGATGAAGAAGCCCAGGCAGTGAGGTTTTCGTCATCTTTGTGTATACATGTACATCTATGTTATATATATATACACGCCTAGCTATATATATATATATAGATTATATATCTGCACACATGTGCTATGATTGTCCCTGGGCTATAACCAGGAACTCAACGACGATGTCGAGTATGACCGGAAGGAGTTGCAAAAGCTGCTGCTGGGACCGTGAGGATGCCAGTGATTTGTTAAGGGCTTGGGAGTTTAAGGTTCTGGCGGCGCGCAATTGTCCTTCTGTTGGTGGAAGAAAAGTCGCGAATACTCAACACTGGTTACATCATAATTGTTTGTGGACCAGCAGCACCCCCGATCCTAGGAATGATGGCAGTTCAGGGGCTGTAGTTGATGCAGGATTGCCTTCATGAACAGCATGAGGCTTTGATTTTTCTATCCGTATTTCGCCATACTTAGCACTCAGTCGCGGGCTTCGTTCTAAGCTCACCTCCTTCCAATTGCAGAGTCACTTTTCGAAAAGGCCAAGAATCCCTCAGGCCTTAATCCCAACCATGAATCATTATGTCTAAAAGCCCGAGGTTTGACCGCATTGACCGGGATGGCTCCGGAAGGCTAACGCTCGATGACCTGATTGAAGGACTGGCCATTGAAGAGGTTTAAGGTCAAGGGTTTTGGGTTGGCGTGGTTAAGGCTTAGAGCGTGTGAGCTTTGGCTTAGGAAAGCGGCTTAGCAAAGTTTAGAGGTTAAGGTTTTACGCGCTAGGGTTCAGAATTTTGAAAGTGTGGGTCAGGGTCATTTCGGGCTGAGGGATTTTAGGTTTAGGCTTCAGATGTGTAGGCTCTCCATGAGTTTACGGGTTCTTTGTGCGATTCATGGTGTTGGGTGCTTGGAGGGTTGCTTACGTATCACTTAGAGGTCTTGGCGTTCAGCTTTCGCCTTGAATAGTCCCTTAGGTTGTTTCGTTGGGGCCTCTTCACAAGGTCACTTGAGGTAACCTGGAGTACTCTTAAAGTCTGCCCAAAGCCCTAAGCTTAAAGCCATGGAGTCCCATCAGCCCCTGCAAAATGTAATGTACAAAACCTAGAATTCCCAAACCTCAACTTAAACAAATTCCCAAGCCGTACAAGATCCGAAATCCCAAAACCTAGCCGAAACCTTGAACCTCAAACCCCCAACGCCCTATGATATATACCCTATTATAACCCCAATACATACCCTAATATAACCCTTATATAAACCCTATTATGGTAGACCTGAAACTTGATCCCTCCAACCTTGCGAAGGAGCTCGCTCCGATCCATCCTTTCAGAGCAGGCAAGGGTGTCATGTAACCAATCCCCTGACTAGGTAGGCCGGCCCCTGGGATATTTGCTATTTTCCCTAATGGCTTTAATAGGGGACCCTATATACTAATATTTTTCAATGGGTTTTAGGGGCCAACTTAGCTGAACTTTTTCACAAATCACCCCACCTCCCTTATGATAACTGTTTCCATCATTATATCATGTTGAGAGCCGAGACGAGCTACGATAGGGGGTGGAGGGGTTTCGTTCTCAGGGGGAGGGGATTAGGAAGTCATCAACTTGGGCGTTCAAGATTTCTTTCCGCTGTACATCCCCGAATTTTCCGGTTGGCTTACTCCAGGCTATGTAAGGAGGAGGCTTAGGGCAGGTTAAGAGCTAAGCTGGGTGGTAAAGGTTTAGCAGGCTTCAGGGTTTGAGGGTTTGGGGTTGGGGATTTCAGGGCCACAGGGCTTAAGGGTTTTGGGGTTGGGAGTCAAGGTTACGAAGCTTAGCAACTCTAGGATATTCGGGCTTAGCATTTGATGAAGCATCAGGGTTAGGGATGGTAGGATGCCTTTGACGGAAGACATTTTGCTCCAAATTGCATGCCTGGTACCCTGCAAGTTGCAGTTCCTTGAGTGTCCTCAGTGCTGTGTTTTGCACGCCTACCGGCAGGATTGCGCACTACTGTCGGGATTGCGCAGAGATTACGTAGACTAGGTAGATTCTGCAGTAGCACGAAGCTGAGGTTTTGATCCATAGAACCGTTTGCGCGCGGGTTTTGCAGTTCAGGGCTTTGCTAGTGTTTGGTCTTTCGGTGATCAACTATGATTTGGCTCTAAGAAGGATGGTACCCGCATTCCCTCCAGGATGAAGCCTCTGCCACGGGGCCCTTGCAATCCAGGTAGGGTATACGCTGCATTCTCTCAATGGCATTGACAATATTGGAATATAGATACAGCGTCATCAGAGGCATGGCTTGTAATGTTTGCTCCCCAATTTGCAGTAGGCTTGATTCCAAAGTTGCGAGCCTTAAGATCTGAACCCTCAACGCCCAAACCTTGATAACCTTGATAAACCCTGAAGCCTAAACTTTTTTTTTTCAACCTTAAGCCCAAAACCCGTAAATGATCTGGTAGATGCCGCCAACTGTCAGGCTCCGGGTGATGGATATCGACGAGCATGACCTGCAGCAGCTTTTTCAGCTGCTAGGTGGCATACTGGAGCTTAAATTTTGCGACTCGCTTTCAATTTCGGGCTTTTCATTGCCACCATAACCGTAACCCCCCTCTATAGTGCCACGCTATACTGTATGCGACGCCACTGTATCTGACGGGAATGGTGTTTTTCCAAAACAGGTGGGGGGTGCAGTGCTCTGAACAGGCAATTGATATGGGTCTCCACCCTGATATTATGCCTGTGTCAGCTTGCCCAAAAATCCCAGTCCTTGTGGTGCAGGCCTTCTTCCAGAGGAGGTTTAGGGAGCGGAGTATACTCGCTTCGGGTCTTACTCAGTTTTCAGGCTTACCTCAGCACTGGCCTTGGATGGTATTCGGAGCATAAGGGATTTGCTCATGCCGGCCATAGAGCAGACATGGCATCTCGAGGGGTGAGCTAGCAAGATACTTCAAAGGCGCACGAATTCTCATCGGCACCACCAGAGAAGGTCGTGCGCGGGTTTTCGATGGAGAAAAAGGTCTACAGAGTCTCGTTGGATCAAGTGTTGTGTATACACAATTTTTCATTCACATGTCTATGCACACATCTAGATATGTTCTTAGACACGCACATAAGTGCATGTAACCCACGGGTACATGGATAATTGAAGGCTGGCTGGTCTTACCTTCGGACTTTCTGCCAGTTGGGACGTTTAGTCCCTCCACCCCAACAACATGGAATTCTACATGTGGTCCTACAAATGCCACTGTCATTCCACGCTGGGCGTATGTTGGTGGTTGACATTAACAGTGTATTGTAATGCTCATCATTTCAGTAATCTGGGGCAGTGCAGGACTTCCCTATCCCACCGTACGAGGTTCCATGCCTGTGTTGGAGGAAGGTATGAGATGTTGGATTCACTGCATGCGCTGTCAGGATGATAGATGCTGATGGATCCGGTTACATCGAGGCCAGAACGGTTCTGACGGCTGCAGATGAAGTCGAGATGGGCGCTTCCCAGAGTTGCGGCGGGTCCCGAAGAACCCTAGTTATACATCTACTGTTCGGGTCCCTATCAAAGGATTGTAGGGGATATTTCTGAGAACCACACCAACGAAGTAGGCAATGGCTGCGTGGGATGTTGTTCATGCAAGCAACTCCAACTTCCACAAGTTTTAGGGTTTGGACAGGCCATCATCTAACCTGGGAAATAGCAGAAGATGTGGTTAAGAGGGGGAAGATTGCTCAGTCATACGAACCTGAACGCTCGCGTGCAACTGTCAATCCACAGCGTTAACATGAAAAGCCAAGAACGCGGCCTTCAAAGACGACTGTTTTTCTAAAGTCAGGCTATTTGGGTTTCCTGTTTGTGTTGTGGAGGATAGCTGCCCGAAGCTCTAAGTAGAGCGACCGCAGCCTCCAAACCTCGAGTGAGCAATCCGCGTAACTAAATGGTTCTCAGTGAAGAATGAGGGATTATGGGGGTATGGAGGAGACCAGCGCGATCCATTCCTCAAGTTTTAGAGCTGGGAGCTCGTTAGGCTGAAGCCGCTCCAGCACGGTAAGCTGCACGTCAAAGTTGCAGACTTCACCACTGGTGGTGTTAGAATTTGCGTAGATATGTTATGAGAGCTGTCGCAACACTTGAGACTACTACTGCAACTACCTTTCTGTATGG